GTTCCTCACTTTCATGAGCCAAGAATACTGCAGTGATAGACATCATGGTAAACAAGGTGCTCTCATGGTGTAGGACATAGATCACCAACTATTAGTTCACCTTGTCTGACATCAGCTAAAATCACCATGAGTAAAACATTAACAATTAAACTAGGCATGTTAAATGGCATTTAATCAGCTAATTGACTAGTCAGTGGAATTTCCATCGACTAGTCGATTAGTTGATGGGAGGGGACGGGGACTGCAGACCCCGGGAGCTAACCCCACTGTGCCTTTTAAATGTATTAAGAGCTAGACTCTTAATACATTTAAAAAGCTGAAGTGCAGAGGGGGCAAGCTGGGAATCAACTAGCCTGGCTCCCACCCTGTCCCCTGCTACACCTCTGCCTCCCTTGCTCCCCTGCAAAGACGGTGCTGGGAGGGAACCGGCTTTTAAGCGGGCTGTCCCCAGCACTAGCTCCTGCTTCCCCCCTTGTTGCATGTCTCTGATAGAGGCAGCAAGAGGAGGGGAAAGCGACTAGTCGAGTCACTAGTCGACTATGCGATAAGCATATGCTTATCGCATGGTCGACTAGTCGCTTACATCCCTAAATTAAACTGTCATTAAGATTTAGAGAGACAAGGTGACAAGGTGAGTGAAATGTTATCTTTTATTTGACCAGTTTCTGTTGGTGAAAGAGAGAGGCTTTCTAATACCTTGGGATCGACATAGCTAGCACAACATGTTATACGTTAATCTTTAGAGTTAATGCCCCACTGACTTGAAGGCAGACATTTCATGCTTCCCTTCCATCTGTTGATTTGAAAGGCATTGTTGCATTGGTTCGCATTTTTATAGTTGTCACCATTTTATACCTCCATTTCCTTATGCCTGGCCTGGGAATAAAGATACTTTGGTTTGTAAAGTACTTTGAGAGCTGTGGATGGAAAGGACTATAAGAGCTAATTTATTAGTATGCTTATTTTTAGAAACATTTTAAAATAACAGCTCTGATCCTAGACCATAGTTTTGGGGCAAGGGGTGGATTGTCTAGCAAATTCCCTGGATTCAGAAGGTACAAGGTTTCCATTGGCATCCACTGCTGTTGTTCAGCTTTTCTCTATCTGTGTGTCTATTTTTCCAAAAGCAAAAATCTAATGCCACACACTGGAATTCTTTTCTGATGACAAACCTTTTATGATGTGATCTTATGGTTAGGAGGCCACGATGATGTAAAACTAAAGAATTGTTACATCGTTATTTATCTGTTGTTTCATATATATGTATATGAGCTGTCTGTTCATAAGAACGTCCATACAGGGTCAGACCAAAAGTTCATCTAGCCCAGTATTCTGTCTGCCGACAGTGGCCAACACAAATGCCCCAGAGGGAGGGAACACAACAAGTAATCCTCACCGTGATCCCTCTCCTGTCATCCATTTCCAGACAAACAGAGGCTAGGGACACCATTCCTACCCATCCTGGCTAATAGCCATTGATGGACCTAACCTCCATGAAGTTATACTTGCACTGTTCAAGCAAGTATAACAGGCACAGAATTGTCTGAAGATTAGTTCTTAGTATAAGAAAGCATGTAGCACTTTACACTACTCCTTTGCATCTAGGTTATGATTATATTGCTTTTCAAATTATATGTATTGGCACTGAAATGAGGCCCAGTAGTTACTGGCACACACCCTTGCGTTCTGTGTGTGTAACATGTTACCCAAGGACATTCCAGCAAGCCCCTTGTATACCCAAATGCCATGATATTTTTAATGACATACACAATAGTCAGACCGTCCCTTTTTAACATCTTGTCTGAAAGACCCCAAATTATAGAAAGCAAATTGCATGGAACTCATCTTACCTTTCATGTAAGGATAACAGGCTGAGCTGTCTCTAAGCTAAAGATCCTAGGTGTTTCAAATCTGAGACTTAGATGAGTCAATAACTATTCCTCTGTCAGGCTGCATGTATATTAATAACTAGGGTGCAATAGGTAACAGACATAATGTACTTCATTTTTTTGATATGACAGGCCTGCTTCAGTGTCCAAAGGACTGTCACTTTGCATGAGAAGAATGTGAGCATTACAAAACAGCTGAATCTTTGTGCCATCTATGAACTGCAGAGTTGCAAAGCGCCCGGTGTTTCTATGAAGAATAAACATCTATCAAATGGAGTGACAAATTGCTCCCTTTACCTGATATGGCTTGAGCTTATAAATATGTTTCCGTAAAGAACTCTGCTTGCACAGAACCAGATCCCCCTTTTCCAAAATGTATTTCATGGTCAAGTGTTTTAACAGCTCCTGGATTTGTGGCTCAGTCCTCTTCCCCCTGAAACTAACAGAGTTGTGCCTTTGACTTCATTTGGCAGCAAGATCAAGCTTTGATATTAAACTATTGTAATGAAGTATGTTTTAGATTTTTGCTTGAGAGAATATCATTGCCTCGTGTACAAAATGAATGTACTTGCACCCTGATAAAAGTTCAGAATTGATTGATGATTATTCATGATAGGAGAATTAGGGTAGTCTTCTTCCCCAGCAGATGGCACTGGAGCTAAGAATGTAGTGTTTCTGGAAACATGTAAATCACTGGGCTTGCCCACCACAAGAAATGGACAAAAAGCAATTTTCTTGAAGAATTGAATTTTTTTTTAAAAAATACTCTTTTTGCTGCCTAAAAATACTACATATATTAAATTATCCTTTTGTGGGGAAGAGCCATTCAATATTTTGTACACTTAATCATGGAATATCTCTATATAAATATTAGGTATGTTAGTGTGTAGTTGTTTACACAATTAACCAATAAGCCTGGGCTTTTTGGTTAATCCTAATGACCAGGGCTCAACAAATCGCTATATCTACTCGCCTGTGGCGAGTAGATTTCAGCCGGTCAGCCCGGTCACCGGCACATGCGTGGTGCGGGGGCTGGCAAGTAGATCTTGCCGTGGTTCGTCGAGCCCTGCTAATGACTATACCCCACCACTTGCTGCCTCTGTATCAGAGGCAGCAACAAGGCTATGGGAGCTGGCTCCCTGAGCCTGCTAGCTCTCATGTCATCCCCTCGTCCCCCCGTCCCCTCCACCCTGCTGCCCCTGAT